CATGAGATACCACCAACGAAAAGCTTCCCTTGATCTGAATCCATCAGATCTAATGATAAAATCAACTGAAACCCCCCACTTTCAGAGCTTGCGGAAAAGGGTTTAGCTTTAGGACAAGGAATCAAAGGTGGTCCGACGTGAGAGAGAAGAGGAGGAACAGAGCGAATATTTTCTATTGGTTTTGGTATTATCGATGCGAGCAAAAGGGACGAATCTGTCTGTAGATAGATTGATTAACGGTTCGGATCGATTTTTGAGTGTTTCGATGGTTGAGATGTGTTTTCCGTTCTAACAGGGCCCAAGAGAATGTAAATAGTGGGCCATCAAGACAAATGTTGTTTTTAGTTATTGGGCTTGTAAGAAAGCCTTTTTTAAAATAAAAAAATGTGTGATGGACTTCATTGCAAAGTAGAGGGAAATGTTTAACGAAACATCATAATGGTTATTCATTTAATGGTCCCATAATTGTATAGGGAAATGTTTTAAGGCTGACCGTTCCGCACCATTGTGAATAATAACAAAAATTTCTATATATACTTATATATCTATACATTTTTATGATTTTAACCGCACCGCAGTTGTTTCGCACATTACCATTCGAACCTAAATAAGAAGGAAACACACTTTCAAGTTTCAATTATGAACTATGTTGCCATTAGAAGTTCTCTTTTATTTATTGGTTTAACTAAAGCTTTATTAATGTTTCTATACCAATATATCTGAGCTTTGAATATTAGAGAAATTAAAATTATACAGATTAGTCAAGAACATATTAACAAAAAAAATTTTACTACGGTGTAAGAAATAATATTGTTATGGGCTTAGGATGATGTAATTAGAGGTAAAAATTTATGCACAATGCATAATTCATAACATGAGAAAAAGATTGACTCTTGTGTTTGTCTTCCACACAGGTCACAACGTGCAAAAGTTCTCAGGAGAAGGAACAAAATCTTGGAGAGCTGTGATAATCTCCGTGCCAGATGTGCAAACTTAGGTGTCGAAAATGCCAAGCCAGCCTACAGCTTTAGTACTTGTAATAATTAACCTCATCTCCTTATTTAGTCTATAAGTTGACCACCTCGTATCATTCACTAAAAAAGTGAATCAAACTTTGGGCCCTATCAATAACGACAAGACGTGCACGTTCTCGAGTAAAAACCTTAATTTTAGTTTTAAACATTTTTTATTTTCGAGAAAACAAGGCTTTGATTTGAATTCTCGCTTTGTCAGCTTTCACTGAAAAGCTTAATAATGGTTAATGATTATATGACCACTTAATAAATTTCGTAATTACTAATTACTTACAAAAAGGGGTAACTTACAGCAGAATATAAATATTTAAGCCGTTAATTACAAAAGGGGGACTAATTTGCAAGTTTATATATGATATATACATAATAAAAAAATCAAAATATAAACAGTTGAGCTTGAACAAGGCAAAAAAGCAGTTTCTTGGTTTCTTCTTTATTTTTGTGTCCCTTCTTGGTCTCTTCGATCTCATCTGGAACAGCTCCATCTTTGGGGGTTTATAGTTGCAATTCTTGTTCTGTCTGCATCAAATATATCTTTTGGTGTCTGTTTGAATCGATTTGAGTAGAAATCATTTGAAGAATGAGAAGAAGGTGTTGATTTTTCTCTGGATGGAGCAGCTTGTTAACTTCATTATTCGACCTCCAAGGTGAAGAGGCAAAAAAACTTACTGATTCTGGAAACTATGTTTCTCTTTTATTAGGGATGTGAACTTTCTATTTTGAACTAAAGGTGTTTTAGAATTGGGCTTTGTATCAAAGTTTTAGGGTTTCAGATCTTTTGAATTTTTGTTCTACTTGATTTTGTTAATTAGAATCTTGTTTTTAGATGAAGCAATACAAGATTAAGTCACTTGAGTTAGGTTCAAGAAAACACTCTTCTTCTTCCAAGTTACTACTTTTTGATCAATCTACAATTTTGCAGAGCTGAATACAATCCGGAACATGATCTATTGGAACAGGAGTTCTTGCTGAAAGGGAGATGGTACCAGAGGAAGGATCTAGAGGTAAATCATTTCTTGAACCGAGTGGAGGTTCTGCCTTATTCTTATTTCAGTATATATATTTAGCTTAATCATGTGAAACTTTAGTCTTTGAACCAATGTCTCATGAACATCAAAAGATAACACTCTATCCAGAAATTTGTGAAAGCATATTTTTTGAACGTTTGATGTCATTATTTGGTTTTTCTTTTCTTGGCCTAAGGTTAATAAAGGATCCTGTATCTGACAGGTAAAAAACAGCAGGGGAGATACCCTTAAGTGTAGTCATTACATGCCAGTTGAGCGTTCTCAAGATAGGCCTCTTCCTTGTGTAGTATACTGCCATGGAAACAGGTAAGAGCTTTACTTGTGAAAATAAGCAAAATGACTCAGCCCATAGTCTGTTAGGACACTGTGACAACCATGCTTTTGCAATGAAAGAACATTCGTACTGGAGTTTCCAAATGTCATAATTGGTCCAACAAACCACTCCTTGGTTGTTATTGTTACTATTCACTAAAATGGCCGTATGATTATTCAGTGGATGCAGAGCTGATGCCAGTGAAGCTGCAATCGTATTACTTCCTTCAAACATCACAATTTTCACTCTTGATTTTTCGGGATCTGGTCTCTCAGGCGGAGAATATGTCACATTGGGTTGCAATGAAGTATGTCCTCCTCTCATCTTGATTAAGTTATCAATAGTTAATTATTTCCCTCAGTCAGTGTGTTCACTAGTAGCCATTGTCTCACTTCTTTTATTGTTGTTAAACGTGACGTGGGTGGTTGCAGAAAGATGATCTGAAAGCGGTGGTTGAGTATCTACGCACAGATGGAAATGTCTCCCTCATTGGCTTATGGGGTCGTTCTATGGGTTCTGTCACAAGGTTCCTCTAAGTCTCTCATTTGTTAATCAGAGCGTTTTCATTTCAAGAAACCGTGTGGAAATAACTGCTTACTATTGGAGCGATTTTGCAAGCAACTGAATAATTTACTTAGTCCATTTTCTTTATGAGCTTGAGAGGAAATTAGTTGTTTGAGACAGATATTACATTTTCATGATTAGCAATAGCAATAACACGTCACACTAACTTAACGATATGGTTGCTACAGTCACTCTGCTAGACTAAGAATCATTGTGTTGCTGCAGCTTGATGTATGGAGCCGAGGATCCCTCTATCGCAGCGATGGTTCTAGACAGCCCCTTCTCTGATTTGGTTGATTTGATGATGGAACTAGTAGATACATATAAGTTTCCGTTACCCAAATTTACTGTAAGTAAAAAAGTACATTGTTTCTGATGGGATTAGTTCTGCATGCTACAAGAGGTTTTATTTAAACTCTTTTTTGATGCAGATAAAATTTGCAATACAATATATGCGGAGAGCTGTTCAGAAGAAAGCCAAGTTTGACATAACGGATCTCAACACCATTAAGGTCGTTACTTACTCAGATGATTAACTACTCTATCCACTACTATGCAACAACATATCTTTCTAATTATATGTGATGTTTTTGTTTCTTGTTTATCAAATATGTTTCAGGTAGCGAAGTCATGTTTTGTTCCAGTTTTATTCGGACATGCCATAGACGATGACTTTATTCACCCTCATCACTCAGAGCGTATATATGAAGCATACGTAGTAAGTTTTCTTCCTCTATCTATCCTCTCACAAGCTGTTTGATAACAATTTGACCTCTAAACATATGTTATGAAAGGGAGACAAGAATATAATCAAATTCGAGGGAGACCACAATTCACCGCGGCCACAGTTCTACTTTGATTCTATAAACATCTTTTTCCATAACGTTCTTCAGCCTCCTGAGGTGTCTGGGCCAACAACACTTTTTAACCCATTGGATGACTATTTTGCCAAGGTAATGAAAATCTTGTATCAGACTGTTTTAGCGTTTTTGGAATGTTCTTGTCGCTTTAGTGAGAAAGGTTATAACTGTTTTATGTTCAGGGCAGTTGGAACACCATGAAAGAACTAAACTCTCCACCATCTTCAGCACAGAAAAGTAAGTCATATTATGTTTTTTATCACCTTTTTATTTTATTTTTACCCTTTAATCAGTATCTTTTCTTATTGATTTCAGGTATAGCTGCGAGCAGTAACTCCGATTCAGTCAATGAAGTCCGCATGAAAAGACCTATGAGTCGCACAGAGGTTGGTAGTTCGTCACTACGTCACATCTGATTAGTTTCAATTGGAACCATGTAACTGTTCTTGCATTGGTACCAAACTAAAAGACTTTGCTTCACTTGTTTCTTTAAAAAAACTACACACGAGTGTATGTGGTATAATCTATATAAACTTTCTCCATATAATTGTTGATGGTCCTTTATTACATCTTTCAGGTTCCTTCCAACGTCCCATCTAATCAATCATCGTCAGAAACGAAGGTCTATGATCAGTTTCTCTTTTTTTTTTCCTTATCTGTTCTTGGGGTATGGTTATGGTCATTAGCTATCGACTAATCAGTTTGTTATATGTTTGTGATGGTTTTTCGATCAAAAATAGTAGAGACACTAGTGCTTGTATGACAAACTTCTCTACATATAGATAAGAAGAGAAAGTATGAAAGAAACAGAAATGAAGAAGACCTGTTCCTAACGTTGCGAGATATGTTTTTTTTTTCTTTCAGGAAAAAGAGGGGTCAAGTAGTTCATCTTCTGATATGATAAGCTTCGATTTCTCAAATGGGGATCCATATCCTCCTCATCATCTCGCTGTAGCTTTAGATGATGATCAATATGTGGAGTTTCAAGTAGAGGACTTGGCAGATTTTCCATCTAATGCTGAGGAAGAGGAGAGGGTAAAAAAATTGCGTGTTTTACACCTTTTGGTCCCTTCTTTGACTGGTTTGATATTCATTTGTTTTACGCAACTTAAATGTCCTCAGATGCTGATGGAAGCAGTGATGAAATCGCTGGAGGCTGAAGAAACTCATCAGAACAAAGAAGAATCTTCCAGGACCAACACTGAAGAAAAACAAAGTAATGCTGCTGCTGCTTATACTACAGAACCAGCGTCTGAGACAGATTCTGCATCCGGTCCAACACATGATGCACCATCATCTTCAGAAGCCGATGCTACACTTAAAATATCGGATTCCCAGAACACAAATGACTCCATTGATTTGTCAGCACGTACAAAGGCAACAGTGACTGTGGTTGGACGTAGTAGCACATCAGGAAACGTCTTAGACGGGTTATTACGACGACGATGGGATCTTAACTTCTTCAAAAGTAGATAAATTTTCATTACTAAGTTAAATGTGTTTTGGTTTTGGGTAAAAAAATAGAAAGGTCAAGTGTTTTATTAAAGGTTTGTCATGACAAGTTTTATTCATATGCTGTGTCTTGGCAAAAATCTATCTTAAAGAGATGAAATCATCTCATGTTCAACTCTTTATCCTCTTGTTATGAAATGTAACGAGATCACCATGTATTTTTTTTTAACCACTAGTCATGTATTTATGAACATATAATGCAATCATCGTACATGATTTTGCTCACATTTCCTGGAAACAGCAAATACTGTGAAGGAAGAATGTCAGAGTATAAACCATTTGATAAACTTTTCAAGGACAGAACAATGAGTTTAAGACAATTTGGGATTTGAGACAAGAGTCAGTTATTAGTTCAAGACAATATAGTTGGATGATACAGAAACAATTACGCATAATCAAATACTCCCTCCGTTTCATATTAAGTGTCGTTGTAGAGAATTTTTTGCGTTACAAAATAAGTGTCGTTTTAGGTTTTCAATGCAAAATTTATTAATTTTGTTATGTAATTTGTTTTTCTATTGGTTAAAATATGGTTAGGTGTATGGGTAACTGTGTTTTTATATAGGAAATATGTAAAATTAATTGTTTTCTTAATCCGTGTGCACAGCTGTAGAGTGACAATTATAATGAAACAGAGGGAATATATAAAACTAAATCATGCATATATATTTGTTTACACACTTTTAAATCATTTTATAAATCCTAGTAAATGATTTATAAATCGAGGAAATAATGTATTAGCTATTGTAAATGGTTTATAAAATTTATAGATCTTAATATTGATCGAATTATGTAGATTATTAATATTGAGTTTAAATATTTACATAAATTTTCTCTTTGTTACACTAATCTTAATGAGTGCTTTCTGTAAAGATCTTTGAGTTAACAAACTTTGTTTGGCTAAGGATAATGTTGTCACAAGTCATTAAAGTGACTTTTGTGACCGCTATTTTGGTATAGCAAAAGCATTGAAACAATGTTGGTGAAAAAACATTGAAACAACTGAATGAATTTCTAGAAACTAACAGTATAGTTTATTAGAATTTTATTGCAATATATAAAGACAATGGAAATGACCGCAAATTATTTTAAAAATTATATTATGACTCAATATGCCTAAAAATTAAAAGTTATATAAAGACAATGGAAATGACCGCAAATTATTTTAAAAATTATATTATGACTCAATATGCCTAAAAATTAAAAGTTAGTTTAACATGTTTAAAAAAATAAAAAGATTTTGTAAATTTGTATAAAAAATAAACATATAAAAACAGATTAAAATTTGGTCATCCCAATCTAAACTATTTCATAATTATATTAATAATATNTAACATGTTTAAAAAAATAAAAAGATTTTGTAAATTTGTATAAAAAATAAACATATAAAAACAGATTAAAATTTGGTCATCCCAATCTAAACTATTTCATAATTATATTAATAATATATTATTTCTGATCATTTGTTCTGTGTCAAAATAATATGTTGAAAACCCACATTATTGAAACCCATGTTAAAACCGTTTTTTTTCTATTTCTTTCGAAAATATACCCGAATATAGGAATTTGGTTCGATCTATATATTCCATTAGATTTTGAATTTATTGTTTCCTCTTCCGCAAGAAAATTAGTTACCGAAATTATAAACCAATCAGGTTGAAATTAAATATATGCTTATGATGCGAAAATCTTGGATATGATATTGATTTAAGGATACGATCTTGCAAAACTTTCTGTTATAATAGAGATAAGATTTTCTGTTTTGATTTTGTATTTATTGAATTGTTTTTTTTTATTTTTTTTTAGAAAATCGATAGATGGTAATCGGATTAGATCTTGCAAAACTTTCTGTTATAATAGAGATAAGATTTTCTGTTTTGATTTTCTATTTATTCAATTGTTTAAAAAAAAAAAAATTTAGAAAATGGATAGGTGGTAATCGGATTAGCTGTTTGAATCTTGTGGGCATTAGCTGTTTGAATATGTGTATATGATTGGTAATCCGATTTGATATTGAAATTAGAGTTATCTCTATATTACTTTTTAACAGTGACATTATTATACCGTAGAATACATTATATAAACCAATATAGTTAATACATTCACATGTTATATTGTGTGTTAGTTAATATTATATTTCTCTATATTATATTAGTGATGCACGTTTTATTGATACACATTTTAGATGCATGTAATATATCAGTGATGTTAGTGATGCAGTAAATGAGTTATCATTAATATACGTGAAAAAGACATGTTAGTGATGCAGGTATTTTTTGGTTGATTAAATAACTCATTAATANCGTTTTATTGATACACATTTTAGATGCATGTAATATATCAGTGATGTTAGTGATGCAGTAAATGAGTTATCATTAATATACGTGAAAAAGACATGTTAGTGATGCAGGTATTTTTTGGTTGATTAAATAACTCATTAATATAACTGAAAAAGACAAGCATTTAAATAGGATGTTTAATTAATATAACTGAAAAAGACAAACATTTAAATTTAAATAGGAAGTTTAATTAAATTCTCAGTGGTATATGAGTGTAAATAAGTTGGAACACTTAGGGGTATTTTTTAGTGGGTACTTCTCTTTTAATAATAGAGATAGTATATGTAAAGTTGTAAACCAATGTAAAACTAAAGAGACAACACCTAACAAGCTGACTTGTCTACAATCCGCACGTCATGCACCACAAGTAATGGTTTTTTGGTTGAAAGGATTTTATTTAGTTAAAAACATTTTTAACTAACTCTTCTTAATAAAATAAATATTTTATGTCCTTATTAGTGTTTTAAAATTACATTTTTACAAAATCAATATATTAGATAAAATTATTAGTAAGGTTAGTGAATGTAAACTAATTTATACAAAAATTAAGTTGTGAAGTTCTTAAAATCAATAAACTTGTGTAAATCTAAACCTTAAGCTTAGAACTAAACCTTTTCTAAGTCCTACGTAAACCTTGTAATCTGTTCTCAACTTTTACTATTATCAATCAAAATGTTAATTATAAAGTTATTTCTGAAACTAACAAACGCCTCTCTCATGGAATTATAAATTGTATGTTATTACAACAATTATCCCAATATTACCAATTTGTTGCCATATTTTAGTTTTTTCACATATATTAATAAAATAAATAATAAATACATAACTTTTTGTGATTATTATTTTTCTATAAATTTAAACCAATGAAAACTAATAAATAAAATTAATTTTTTTGAAGTTTGTAATTAATCATTATTATTTGATAAAATATTATTTGAAAATGTAAAAAAAAATGTATCTTTTGGAAACAATTTTTTTTTTCTAAAACACATACCATTATGGAATAGATGGAGTAATTTTTAAGCAAGATTACTATTTTTGAAGAGAGTAACAAAATTTTAATGCATAAAAGATAAAGCTGTCGTTACTTAATATCTTGAACTGTATTTTTTTAAAAAATGTATATTTACATATCTGGAAATTGTAGTTTTAATAGGAAAAGCAAACTATTTAGAGAAATAAATAACAATCGTGGGAATGAGGTCGGGTTTGAAACTGCAATAAATCAAAATCAAATCAAAATCAAAATCATCATAGGAATTCAAACTTGTGGACAGAAGAAAAATAAATATCTTTTGAGAAGAAGATGCATCCCGTCAACGCGATGATGGCGGCGAGGATGTTGACCGCCGTGGGAAATTCAAACGGCTTAGAAAGCGAGACGATCCCCTTCGGATCGTTATGGTGGAGTATCTACGCCGGCGTCTCTTGTTTCCTCGTCCTCTTCGCCGGAATCATGTCAGGGCTCACTTTGGGGCTCATGTCTCTCAGTGTCGTCGACCTCGAAATCCTCCAACGTAGCGGCTCCCCAAAGGAGAAGAAACAGTCAGGTTTTTCCAAAATTGAATCGCTTCTTCTCTCTTGAATTGATTATAATTCTGATTCTGATTCTGATTCTCTAACTGTTTGGTTGAATTTTTTTTTTTTCAGCTGCGATTATTCCGGTTGTTCAGAAACAGCATCAGCTTCTAGTCACACTTCTCTTGTTCAATGCTCTTGCTATGGAGGTTATTAATTTAATTAATTAAATTCAAGAAATAGTTAGGCCTTAGTTAAGCACTTTAGGCCATGTTTATTGGGCGTTCTTAGGTGGGGTTCTTAATTTCGGTTTACTAAGAAAAACTAAGAAACAACTCTTACAACAAGAGACATAAGAGCCGACCAAAAAATGTAAAAGAGAAAGAAAAAAAACGAAAAAATGTCAAATGAAAAGTTAAAAACTCTATCCTAAGAGCCCCAATAAACATGCCTTGATAGATGATTATTGTTTAGGCGAGCTACTAGAAGGATTTTTAATTTGTGGATATTATTTATTTAATTAAAGTTTAAGAAATAGTTAGGCCGTAGTTAAGCGATCTTATAGAGGGATTATTGGTTAGGCAAGTAAGTAGAAATGATTTTTTAAATGTGTTGAGACCTGATTTGCCGACTAGGCGGGAGTCTACACCGATTTTTAGAACAGTTTATAACCTTTTATGTTTAGTTCTGATGTTAAAAGATGCATACTTGCAGGGTCTTCCTATATACTTAGACAAGATCTTCAATGAGTATGTTGCTATCATCCTCTCCGTTACTTTCGTTCTCTTTGTTGGAGAGGTAAACAAAGTTTTTTATTTTTTTTTGTAGCTTTAAGGTTTTATCAAGGGTACTTACAAATGATTGTTTCAGGTTATTCCTCAAGCTATATGTTCGAGGTATGGACTAGCAGTGGGAGCTAACTTGGTCTGGCTTGTACGCATTTTGATGATTCTCTCCTTTCCCATATCGTTCCCTGTTGCAAAGATGTTGGATTGTGTGTTGGGGCATGGTGACCCTTTGTTTAGACGGGCTCAGTTAAAGGCTCTTGTTTCTATTCATGGGGAAGCTGCTGGCAAGGGAGGTGAGCTTACGCATGATGAGACTACTATCATAAGTGGTGCGCTTGATTTGACTGCCAAGACTGCTCGTGAAGCTATGACACCGATTGAATCAATCTTTTCTTTGGATATGAACTCGAAGTTGGACTGGTGAGTTTGGTTAACTCTCAAGTTCTCTGACAACCTTATATTTGAATTTTTGTGTCTTACACTACTTTGGTTGTGATATTAGGGAAGCAATGGATAAGATTCAAACACGAGGCCATAGCCGGATTCCTGTATACTCCGAGAATCCTAAAAATGTTGTCGGACTTCTTTTGGTAGGTGTTGTTGAGTTGACCCTTTATTCGGTTTTATCATCTTCTTTTGCAAACACTAATGAAGATGTTGTTCGTTTTTTTAGGTGAAGTCTCTCCTTACTGTTCGCCCTGAATCAGATACTCTTGTCAGCACAGTTGGTATACGCCACATTCCAAGGTCTTGGCATTGTTATTTTCCTTTTTCTTTCTCTGAAGATATCCTCTCTATGTACAACTAGGATTCTGATTGTGTGTTTAAAATGATTGAACCAGGGTTCCAGCCGATATGCCACTGTATGATATACTGAATGAGTTTCAAAAAGGGAGCAGTCACATGGCTGCAGTTGTGAAGGTCAATGAGAAACGCAAAGGTTCTCTTTCAACTTTGCGTGAAGAAGAAAACACCAACCAAAGCAATGACTCCAAGTTGACTACACCTCTGTTACTAAAGCGAGAAGGAAACCAGGACAATGTCATTGTTGATATTGACAGGATTAGTAACAGTAGCTTCTCGCATACTTCAGAGGAGATAGAGTATGGTGAAGTAATCGGAATCATCACTTTAGAAGATGTCTTTGAAGAGCTTTTGCAGGAAGAGATTGTGGATGAAACTGATGAGTATGTTGACGTACATAAAAGGATTAGGGTGGCGACTGTAGCTGCAGTGGCGATTTCATCATTAGCGAGAGCTCCTTCAGGCCGTAGGTTACTTGGCCAAAAGGGAACTGTAAGTAAACAAACACTCTTGCAAAACAAATTGGTTTTAAGTGAAAAGATGTTTGAGATATTGAACTGGTTTGTGTGTTTTTGCAGGGAGGACCAAAAACGCCAAAGTCATCTTCTACTACTCCCAAGGCAGGACAAGATAAACCGATTTGAACTACGACCGGTTCTCTTCAGGGATGATGATTTCATGTGTTCTGTTTTTGTTTTTGCTTGAGATGTGAGTGTAATAAAAAACAAAGTTTTCACACTTTAGATCAATTAATTGAGCACATAAGTGTAGGTATAATAATATATATAGTCTACAAACAATTCGAACTTGTTTTTAATCTATTCATTTGTATGTTCTTTTTTCATCTCCTGTTTCGTCCCAGCAAGTGTTTAGATGAAGTTTTGGGAATGATGTGTGTTTTATGATTTTCAAAGTAGCGCTGTTAACAAACGTTGACTAAGGATCACTAAAGGGTCCTTAAGAGCATGTCCAACGCGGGATGAAGACCAATCCTTAACATTGACACGTTGGCAAAAATAAAGAAAAAAATAATATATTAATTGTCATGGGTAAGGATTAATCCTTAGATAAGGAGAGGAAGAGGCCGATCCTTGCTGACGTGTCCGGTTCGCTTGGGCCTGACGGGAAAAAAAAATTTCATTTTGTTGAGCAACATAAAAAAAAAATCTCTCTTCTCCTTTCTCGGTTTTACTTTTAATCAATTAACATATAAAGCGGTCATGCCCTTCTCCCATAACCAAACCACTAACCAAAACAGGAAAGTTTGAGCAGAACCAACAACCCCATTATTCAGCACTCCACCTTGATTCAACTGTCCTTGTATCATGTGACTGAATTGCACAACCCAATTGATCCTTACCTCTAGGATTACTGATCTTTCACCTTCAAATAGTCAATTCCAGCAGTTCCAAACTGCTTCACATCAACATGCTTCGTCTTCTCAGTGTCTAGTCTAAACAATATTCTCTTCTCACAAAAGACATGGTATCATGTAAACCACATAAAGCCAATATAATTCTTCACATGAAGAATTCATTATTGTAGTAATATATTTGCACGTACGAAGATAACTAATGATAGATGCATTAGTGACAAAAATATTATTTTAGTGATAAGATAACTTATAAAACATATTATGTTATGTTAGGCAATATTCTGAAATTCTGTTTTTTTTTTTTTTTTTTTAAGAAAAACAAAACAGCGAAGCTATAGATAAAAAGAAAAAAAAACATGGATCAAAAAGGTTGACTAGATTCTATACAGTTTATCAGCCTTGATGACAGGATTTTGGATAGTTAAGTCGGTAATGGCGGCAGATTTATAATCCGATAGACAAGAATGTTCCTCTGGGTGACGGTGAGACCCACAGAACACATGTCCGCATCTACATCCAAATCCTAGCAGCCCCACCTTTTTATTACACGCACTGCATCTACTCCTCTCTGTCTTCTTTACCATAACTGCTGCCTCTTGAGACTTCTCCACCACTGTTGTTTCCTTTTCACCCGCCTCTCTTATAGTGTCCAAGTATCTGGCAGACTCATCCTTCAGAAAATTGTTGTAGCACTTTGAGCAAAGGTTCTTGGTCTGTGGCGTGCTGAAGAAGCCACATCCGTTCATGCATAGAGAAGGCTCTCCCGTCATGCTTTCTTTACCGAATCTTATTGTTTGCAACTCTCTCTCTATATATCTTCTTGTTTGCTTTGACTCTCACAATCTCAATCTTGTGTTGAATCTAATGTTTGCAATCTTTTTGATGTCTCTGTCTTTGCTTTCTTCTTGTTTTGGATTTCTCCCACAATCTGATTTTATGTCTGCGAGTTTGTATGTCTTACGTTTATATACAGATTTTAAAAACAGTCATACCCCTGCCAAGTTTAAGGTGTTTTATGTCTTAAAATATAGTTTTTGTTTTAGGTTTTATATTACAAACTTGATTTTGAAGATAATTAGGAAGATTTATAAAATTTTATGCAGCTGTCATTGTTATCTTGAATTATAAAATATCATATATTACAAATTTTGGATTTCAGGTGTTTTGTCCTGAACAAATTAGGTTTTCCAGGTTCTATTTTGTAAAGCTGTCATTGTTATTTTTTACTACTAGGTGTTTTGCCCGCACATACGGGCTTAATTATATTTAAGTCAATTTAAAAAATCATCAAAATAAATAATTATTTGCATCTAAATAATTCGAGTTAAAATATTAAACTTTTTTACATTGATAAAGTTGTTCACAAATTAAAAACATATCTATTTTTTCCTTTAAAATTTTGAAAATTCAAAAGTCTATTTCATTTCTTCTTAATTGATAAAAATATAAAAATTTATCTTTCAATTTGAAAAATTGAATCGATAAATATACATTCAAAAATTGATCTTACAGAAAGAATAAAATTAGTTTAGATAATAATACAATATATTTAATTTATTTTTGTCAAACACGTATTTTCTTTCTTTTTGAATGATCTTTTATTTTATATGATTAATTCATGTTTAAGGTTTTACTATATAATATATAAACATAAATTTAATTTAAAGTGTGAGTTTAGAGGCGAAAAATAACTTCATGAATATATATATCATTATATTCTATTATTATATTATTTTAATTTGAAAATAATTACGTATTATACTTTTCAGTTTTATTTTTTAATTATATACAATTAAAATTTTTACTTTATGAATATTTATTTATGTGTTTTCTGTTTTTGAATTTTTTTATTAAAAATATATTTTCCGGATAACAACACAATATATATGAGACTTATCTTTTTATTTTATTTTTAAATATATATTTAGATTATAGATAATTCTTATCATTATTATTAATTTACATCATTTATCTAATCAAATAAGTATTAAATTTGTTTTTATTTTTAAGTGATTTATATATTTTATTCATTAAGGGTATAAACAATATTAACCACTCCAACTTTTAACGTGAGAGCTCCGTTTCGAAAAATCACTTCGCAGGCGAAAAATAACTTCACGAATATATATCATTATATTCTATTATTATAATATTTTAATTTGAAAATAATTACGTATTATACTTTTTCAATTTTTTTTAATAATATACAATTAAAAATTTTACTTTATGGATATTTATTTATGTGTTTTCTGTTTTTGAATTTTTTTATTAAAAATATATTTTTCGGATAACAACACAATATATATGAGACTTATCTTTTTTATTTTATTTTTTAATATATATTTAGATTATGGATAATTCTTATCATTATTATTAATTACATCATTTATCAAATCAAATAAGTATTAAATTCGTTTTTATCTTTAACATGAGAGCTTTGTTGCGAAAAATCACTTCGCAAATAATAGTATAGATATATATTTATGGGCTTTATATGCAATAATAGACTAATCGAATCCTGAGTGAAAGCATATAAACCCAACCCCTTTTGTAGTTATTAACTAATACAAAGTTTTTGAGTCCAACTAGGACTTGAAAATCGAGTAATAAAAAGATTACTTAGAAAAGGATTTTACTTATTTTAGCCTTCTAAGTACCAATCGCAAAAAAAGAGAAGAGACCATGAGAACTCTGAACAATGCAGGATGCGAAGACCTTGATTCCATGAGAAATATACATCGCTTGCATTATTGGTTTAATCCATTCGTCTGATTCAGTTAGCATGATCCTCCTCCCTGAGATGAATTCAATGATGATTCCCATTAGCAAAACCCATCAATAGCAAAAACAAACTTAGAAGAAAAGAAACAAGTCTGAAACCTGCAGCTTATTGTTGGAAGTGGCTTCTTCTCCACGCTTCCCTTTGAATGAGAAGTTGAATCCGGAAGTTGAGACATGAGTAGAAGACCCACCAAAACGTTTAGAAGCAATATCCAAGCGTTCCATCATCCGTGCAACCCCAGCTATTCCAGCGTTCATCTCACGTTGTACACCTTTGCTCAGTTCTTTGACTGAGTTATTGCGAGCAAGTAGCTTCTCTTTAAGACCTTGTTTACTCTTAGAGATGGATTCTTTGTACCTGGAAGAGGCATGTCTCCATACCATCAGTTTTGACTTCTGAATCAATAAAGGAAGATGAATAATTGAGTTTTGTGGGGGCCATACCTTGCGGAAGCAGCAGCTAGTTTGGATTTAATGGCTTCCGGAAGAGATGATGCTTCAGATGGAGAAGGTCCAGGGGATATTCTGATTACAGATACACAAGAGAAGATGAAAGATATGCTAAATAGGGTTTTAGGTCAGTTAAGCATTCTCCAAGAAACAAACAGACATGGTCTCAAATTCCATCGCCATGCAAATTCACCACAAGCTTTCAGTTTATTACATGATGTCAATATATACCTGGATCCATTGGTGGTATCAGCAGGAGATGCAGGAGACGGGGGGTTTGCATCCTGATGTTCAGCATGTGAAATAACGGCAAGATTGCCGATATCAGTAGGAGTGGGATCAATGGAGGGTATAGGAGTGTCCCTTGAACGAAGCAAACAACGTCTATGAGCAGCTTCAGTGAGATGCCTAAGGAATTGTTCATCAAAGCTGCTAAACTGCTAGAAATAAAAAAACATATAAAATTATCTTAGCCAAGTAGTGGAAACCAAAACTCTTTACAACTTAATAATGCACACAATGATACCAACCTCGTCTGAGTGAAAGTACTCCTCATTAGAGTGAGGAATGGAAGTTGGAGAGGATGAAGATCTCATGTTACTGCTGGTTTTGATCAGCCTTTCCTTGTCCACAGCAGCCAAAAGCTCTTGGCTAACAAGACAAAAAAAAAGGAACCAGTATTACTACAATTAATAGTGCATCAAACAAAATAAAATAAAAAACAAATGTTTCTTTCTTGTAACAAGAAGGGATCATCAGAAGTAACCTGAGAGGATCTTTAAGGACAAAGAATTGCCAGCAAATAGGACACTCTTTGCTTCTCTGAGACCTGTGTCAAAAACTACGAATCAAGTCACCAATAGAAGAACAAGATTCAATTCTAAAACAACATTACCACTCAATGATGCACTGAAGGTGATATTCATGCTTGCAACTTGTTACCTGACAACAAACCATTGCCATTTTCAAAATCATCATCAGATGGATCAAGAATATAAAATCAAAGGATCTAATCCGATTATCCCCAGATTTAGGAGGATCTTACAGTGGCAGGGTCGTGGAGGGTGAAAGGCTCGAGGCAGATGCTGCAAGCGTCGTCGGTTTCATTATCATCGATGGCAGAGGAAGAGGAGGAAGCGATTGCAGAGTTGAAAGGAGATTTTTCGGATAAGTTGAAAGCAGAAGCATAACTGAAACTAGACATTGTTGCTGTGGATGAAGAAGAAGGTGTGGATTGATTGAGATCAAGATGAGGAGGAGGTAAGGAGGTGAGGGGGTGATCACATAAAAAGAAGACTGATAAGTCAAAGCAAAGAATATTGAGGAAAAAGTCAAAAAAGGGAAATTGCAAGGCGGAGGAGCAAAGTTCGATTCGGACTGTTCCCAACTTTTACCTTTTCTTTCTCTATTTTTTGTTACACTTATTGGGCTGGGCCTCTTTGCTTGCTTTACTCCACTATTTATTAGATTCTCTACGTACTTCGTCATCACAGAATACTTGGCTTCGTGCACCATGTGCAGAAAGAAAAGTTTAAAAATAAATTTATATTTAAAAATCAAATTTAGTTAATTTTTAAATTTATTCTTTTTTACATTAATTATATGTAAAAATTAAGAGAAAATAAACAGTTTTTTTTTAAATATATTTTATTTAAATATATGACAGTTCTCTCAAATAAAACTTTTTTTAGGTTTTTTCACAAAAATAGATCTTAAAATTAAAATGACCAAAACATCACTTTTTATTGTGAAAATTTCAATTTTTTAAAAAACAAATTTGTAATTATATCCCCAAAACCCCACTCCTCAACTTTAAACAAAAAGGTTTACGATTAGTTAAACCAAAGGATATAAGTGTATATTTACTTATTTTTTTATAAAACATTTAAGTATATCTTGGTCATTTTTATTTTAAGGTATATATTTGTGATTAAAACTTTTTTTTAGGTCTATCTTAAAAACTTTTTCTTAAATTTATATTTAATAATATATATGTATCTTTTATCTTTTGGTTAAATTATATTAAATCAGATTCTATACTATTAAGAGAAAATTTTGTTAGATATATAATTATCAAAATATAAAACTAAATAATATTTTTAAAATTTATAGATGTTATAAATAAAGCTAATGGTATTGGGATTAGAAAATTTTAATTTTAAAAAATACTGCATAAAATTTTGGAAAAGAAAATTTATTAATAAAAAATATATAATTAAAAAATACACTTAAAATATTTCAATATTTGTAATATTACTATATTTATATTTCTACTATTATATTATTTATTATCTTAATGATAATTTATGAGTTCTTTTTCTTATCACTATTTTAATATAAATTTTTGTTTAATCAAACATAAAAAGCTATATAAAAATATTTTTGTTTATTTTAAATTATATTTAAGAATATGCATGTATATATTTAAAATTATAATCTTAGATAATTTTTTATCTATTTATTTTAATTAAATATATTAAATAAATTTGTAGAAAATTTTATAATTATCAAAAATTAAAATTAGACAATATTTATTACATTTTTAAATATATAAGAAATTAATAATTTAGGATTAAATTTTAATAATTTTCAAAAATGTATACATTTTTGAAATTTTTGTAATAAAATTGTATAGTTTTAAAATATATAATTAAATGATATTTTCGAAATATTTAATGTCATATTGGTATATATTTATTTTAATGATGATTTATTAGTTATTACAATATTTTAAAAATATTTTCAAAAATATAAATCGACATTAAATGTAATATATGAGTTGTTACCATATTCTATAAAGTTTTCCAAAAATATATATATTAACATTAAATGCAATTGTCCATGTCATATTTAATCATATGTCATGTCATCAATTCTAGTAGACATGTCACCATTTTTTTTGTGAAATTGATTCTAGAGACGACATGTGGATAAATCACTTCACAAATAATGTATAGGGGATGGACCCAATTCTATAAAAGTTTAGATACAGAAAAATCGCATTTATAAAACTATTAAATTAGCAAAAGTTACATTTTCAAAACTAGTCCTGCCATATTATCTGAAATCCAAAAACTTAACTGGAACCAAACTTGGAAAAAAAACGCAGAAATTGGACCAAAACTTATAAAACTCGGGATAGTTCTTCCCTTTTTTTTTTATAACACTGTAGAATAGTTCAAGGGAATACAAAAACAAAATATAAAAGAGGTAAGATGAGATGTCAGTACACACCAAAAAATGAAAATTGAAAAGAAAATCATCAAACCCTTTATTATTGAGCCTCTATGACGAGTAAGTGATGTAATCACACCGGAGCATTGCAGGAGATGTACTACTGGTGACGCCGATCACGAGTGACGCTTAACGCAATTGCCGCTGCTGCTTCATTGTGTTCAGGAAGAGCGTGATCTAAACTCCATGGAACGATTCTTGCCAGAAGAAAAGAGATATTGTGGCGAATAAGACTGTGGCTATGGTGTTCATTAGGCTTTGTGAATACATTATGTAGGCTCTCCAAAAAGGTCTCAAAAATAATATTTGAGAAGTGTAAATTATGCATACATTCAACCGCCCAGAAAAGAGCCCATAAGTCTGCCTCTGTTTTTGTGCGCATACAGGAATAGGCTCGCCGGCTATGCATGAGTGTACACCCATTTTCATCACGTAAAATCCAGGAAACTCCACTAAGGCGATTTGAATTTACCCATGAGGAACCAACATTACATTTGAGGAAGCCATTGGGTGGTTTTTTCATCGCACCATTTCCGTATCGACATCACCTATTCCATCCTTTAAACCATGTTGACTCTTCTTCATAGGTTTTCGTAGCAATAAATGAAGATTGAATAGTCTTGGCTTCAAAAATATAAGTATTTCTAGCTTTCCAAATTTCTCATAGCAACCATGGAAAGACTTTTCTTATATGTATATCTGTAGATGAGGTCTTACCAATCTTGATCAGGTGCACAAAATTTAAAAAGATGGAATTCCGAGAGAAACCTCCTAAGGGTACTGGAAAGTTAGAGTGTTCACATATGGCACGTGCTTTAACACATGTAAACAGAATATGACATATACTCTCAACACCATTACCACAAACAGAGCATGTTGAGTCTATCGGAATATCCCGAGTAGTCAAACGTTGCTTAACAGCTAAAGCACCAGATAAAGCACGCCACATAAAATGTTTTAATTTTGGTGGAGCTTTGGTCTTCCACAAGTCTCTCTATAATTGTTTTTCAACAGGAGTGAGAGAGTGTCCTTGAGGGTGACCAAAATCCACCAACGCCTCTAACAACTTATACCCACTCCGAGTCGAATATGATCCATTTGGTGTAAAACCCCATTTGATAGAGTCTTCGAGTACCAATGACGGTTGCAGACGTAATATCTTCTTTCTCAAAATCCGAAAAATCAAAACCAAATGAATATCTCAATACCTGAAATACTAACTATATATCTAACTAAAAAAATATTTAAAAAAAAAACAAAGTACCCAATTGTATGGTTTTTCATGTCTACAAAAAAAGAAAATTTAATAATATTAAAATATTATTATAACTAACATTTAGCATAAATATTTATCAAAAAACATTATATTTATTTAATTTGATGAAATAATCAAAACCATTTTTACTAAAATAAAATAACAAATTATTAAAATTAATGTTTCAAATATTATGGCCATGTAAATAAAATAAATATGTATATATATATGATCAATTATATTATATAATTTTTATATAATTACATACTTGTATTTTTGAATTAAACGATTTCAATATATTCATTTGGATCGATTTATAAACCAAACTATATCCATATATTGTGATTTTTAATAGATAATATTCAATCAGCAAACTAAATTAATTTCTCTATCTTTTCAGTGAAATTTTAGTTATTTATGTCTTACTGAATACTCTATATAAAATAATCAATTTAAACCAAATCGATATCTGAAATGTCCAGCGCAAACCTGATATATCTTATATATTAAAACAAAAGTTAATTTATTTGTGATATTTTTATAGGCAATTCTTTAAAATAGCCCTTTTTAAGTTTTTATCACAAAAATAGACCTCAAAAATTAAAATAACCTAAATAACACTTTTGATTTTGAAAATTTTAAGTTTTTTTAATTTTTTTAAATTCAAAACCTTATCCTCAAAACCCCACTCCTCAACTCTAAACAAAAAAATCTAGGATTAGTTAACCCAAGGGGTATAATGTATATTTAATAAAATATTTAAGTGTTATTTTGGTCATTTTAATTGTTAAGATCTATATTTGTTTTAAAAACTTTTTTAGGTCTATTCTAATCATTTTCTCTATTTTTATTTAGGCCAATTTCTAGAAAGTCATGTTATATTTATTCTCTAATCTTATCATTATTATACCATACTTCCTCCGTTTTATAATAAGTGGCGTTGTAGAGATTGTTTTTCGTTACAAAATAAGTGTTGTTTTCGGTTTTCAATACAAAATTTATTACTTTTATTTTGTAACTTATTTTTCTATTGGTTAAAATGTGGTTAAATATATAAGTGATTATGTTTTTATACAAGAAATATACAAAATTAATTATTTTCTTAATTCTTGTGCACAACTCTAGAATAACACTTATAATGAAAGAGAGAGTACTAAAAATCGAAACTACAATGGCAACAATACGCCTAAAATCCGGTTAGGATATACATTTTATTCAAATTTATTGAATTGTAATGTGCAACACATTAAATGTACTTGACCATTAAATATACAGCAGTCCAACCTAACATAATAAAACTATAAAGAATTGATCTTATTAAACAAAACGATGGAGCACACTCTACCTAGATATAATCAAATAATTTATTTTCTCAGATCGTGAATAAACGTGTATATTCTGTTTTGCACAAACAATTTCTAACTAATTGATATTATAAACCACTTATCTTATCTATTAAAAAAACCAATAGCTTCTTTCTGTGTGATTTCTAACAAATCTATTGAAAAAGATTTTAATAAGATCATAATTTTTAAAAAGTTATATAAATATTATCACGAATTTCGTAACTAATTGTGAAATGTTGTTATACATTAATACATATATTTAGTTATCGTTTTAAAAATGAAAAATAATTTTATCAATTTTATAATCATTCATGCTAAAAAATAGTATACTAAAATTAATATGATACAATTATATTAGGTTGACAAATTAATATATTATATTATCATATATATATATATATAATATTCTCCCAGAATGCATTAACATTAGTAAAGTACATAGTACATGTATAAAAATAAAATATTTTAAACAATAATATATTAGATTTTGATCCGTACTTTGAAAACGCAAGATATTTTGCGATGCAAAGTTTTATTAACAATGTTACAAATGTTTTATTAATTTGTAAGAATTTATCTATTTAAAACTTTATTGCATTTCAGTGTAAATCCGATTGAAATTTGTAGTCAAACTAATAAACTCAATGACTCTGGCATGTAATTGGTTTTGAGTTTTAGGAAGTGTTTTATTAGTTTAGATGAATCTGACTATTTAAAATATTAATGCATTTAAGTCAGCGATTTTAAACATGATCTGAATCTGCGATCGAACCGATGACTCGATATGCAATCTGTTTTAGGTTTAAAAAGTATCAATAATTTAAATATCAGATAAATACACAAAACCCCATAAATCCCAAAGCTACAGATTCAACAAATGTTGCAAATATAATTTTTTGGAATGCATTTAAAACTGAATTAATCAATAGCGCAACCGCGCGGTTAGAAATATATAATGGTTTAAAACAATTGATTTAGTAGAACATGTGAAAATATTATATTTTAAATAAATTAAAACCCTTTAAATATATGTTTAATGTTTATATATATATAACAAATATCTATAAATATATAAATAAAATTAAACAACTATACAGCGGATTAAAATCTAGTTGTTCTTGACAATAATAACAACATGACAATGTCGAAAGCACGCACAATCAAGTTATGTGTTCTGACTTCTGATTGAATCAGTCACTCACTCTTCGGACAACACACAAATTTCAATCTAAAAATAATGAGAGCAAACAAAATAGAGATGAAATAAAACAATCAAGAAAATAGAGTTCAACTAATTAGAAAAGTATGACATATAGTTTTGTCAGAATTCGAATAAGAGGATTGCAAAAAACATTATCCTTTTGAGAATTGACAATCGAAACTATGGATATTTTATCAAAAGTAGGTCTGGGCATTCAGATATTCGGTTCGGTTCCGGATAGGAACCATTCGGTTTCGGGTATATCAGATAAATCATTCTTATACCCAATAGGTATTTAGGAGATTTTGGTTCGGTTTCGGTTCGGTTCCAGTTCGGTTTCGGTTCGGTTCCGGGTACCCATTTAATATATAAATCAAATATATATATATATACAAAATATATTAATTAATATGTTAATTTAAATGGTCTAGTGTTTACACGCTTACATATTCGTCAATCCAAATAAAGTGTTAATTTTATAAATATTTATCATATTTTAATAAAGAAATACCATATATATTTATAATATAACAGAATAAATAAAACGCGGTAAAATGTACTTACTCTTTGTATCTAACCTTGGTTTAAGTGTGTTTGATGTCATTTTATCTTATTTTTTAAAAAATTAACTTGTTTTTTCGAATATCCGGGTACCCGTTTGGTTCTCGGTTCGGTTCCCGTTTTGGTTTGGTTTTTCGGGTATAGAAATATAAGAACCATTCGGATATTTTAGAATTTCGATCCGGTTTCAATTTCGGGTATTTCGGTTCTGTTCCAGTTCGGTTTTTCGGTTCCGGTTTTTTTGCCCAGGCCTAATCAAAAATTTGAGTTGGGGTTACAGGAAGAAACAAGAACAAAAAAGGGTAAGAGAGACAAATTTCAGACCAGACACATATTTTTGACAGATTCCTAAATACTATTTTTTCAGAATGAACTTTTAATATTTAGTTTAATTTGATAATTTTGGCATAATTTCTCTTTAATGGTGTCATTATTCTTAAGAAAACCTCAAATGAAATAAAATATATTTTTAATTTAATATATGTGGTGGTAATCTATCTCTTTCGTAACCAAAGAACGTGGTCTCTGAATATACCATTACCAACCAAGACCATATGGGTACTCAAGGATTCCACTAGCGTCCGCTCTTCTCATCCTTCTTCTTCAGAATTACACGCACAGGGCGAGATACTTGGAGACTAGTAACCCTTTTAAAACCAAGTTAGTCTCTTCTTCTCAATTATGTGTTTCCGACACAAAGCTTTTGTCTTTACTGCTGCTCGCTTCTTTTCCTTAGTTTGTAAAGTCTCTTCTTTTATGGGTTTTGCAGATTCCTTGAAGTGAAAACAATGGTTGTGTTTACGAATGTTTCCGCCGCGAATTTGCCTTATCAAAATGGGTTTTTGAAGGCAATTTCATCTGGAGGTTGTGATCTAATGGGACATAGCAGCTTCAAAATTTCAACTTCTTTTAAGACAAGAATAAGGAGGAGGGGTGCTGGTCCTTTGCAGGTCTCTCTTTTTTTTTTTTTTTTTTAATTTACTTGAATTCTCGAAATCTGATCAAAAGAAGCCAATTTTTGAACTGTGTTATTAGGTAGTATGTGTGGATATACCAAGGCCAGAGCTAGAGAACACTGTCAACTTCTTGGAAGCTGCAAGTTTGTCCGCATCTTTCCGTAGTGCTCCTCGCCCTGCAAAGCCTTTAAAAATTGTAATCGCTGGTGCTGGTATGAATGTGTCAAAAACTTAATAGCTTCCTGGCTCCCTTCGGATTATTGATGTGGTGAATCTCTTTGCCTCTCCAATAATTTGCAGGATTGGCTGGATTGTCAACAGCAAAGTACCTGGCTGATGCAGGACATAAACCTCTGTTGCTTGAAGCAAGAGATGTTCTTGGTGGAAAGGTAAAACTTAACTCATGGTTGTTTAAATTCATCATTCTTATTAAGATTTAAGACTTTGCTACTCTCCAAAGGCCGTGCACCATTTGAGTAAACTATACTACATGATATATAACTAATGTATAGAGTGTTACAGTCTTGTTTTGTTGTTGTGTGTTTCTGGTCCATAGGTTAGATTATTATTAATGATCATCTATTAATGATGTGAAGTATGTGTTCCTCCAGATAGCTGCATGGAAGGATGAGGATGGAGATTGGTATGAAACCGGTTTACATATATTTTGTAAGTTCAAAAAATTCATAATCTCTTCATTGCTCCTCCAATGTATGTATTTTTCTCACTTTCATAACTTGGATTTGAATTTTACATGTGATATTTACCAATATGTGCCCTAGGCTTGAATCGTCTATTGCTGAATAAGCAATAGGAAATTAGATTTTAATTTGATAGTCGCAAGGATTCTTGAAACTTTATAACCTTGCACACCTTTTCAAATTTGCTCACTAAGATCAGCAAGAAGATCTCTTTCATTTTAGCTGCTGTACCATTAACTTTGAGAAAGATGTAAAACAAAGCTTATGATCAACAGAGTTTAATTAACTTTCCTGTTAATTCTTTTCCTAATTGAAGTTATTGACTCTCTTTTTTTTTCCTTGACTCTTTTCATATTCTTGCTGGAAGTCGGTGCTTATCCGAATGTGCAAAACTTGTTTGGAGAACTTGGGATCAATGATCGGTTGCAGTGGAAGGAACACTCCATGATTTTCGCCATGCCAAGTAAACCTGGAGAATTTAGTAGATTTGATTTCCCAGATGTCCTACCAGCACCCTTAAACGGTGAGAGGATAAACTTATAGCATATTTTTTTATCTTCAAGTTGTTTGAACCTTCAAACTATATCACACGTTAGGACAACATATGTTGGTTCAAGTAGTTTATGTGGATACTCTTACCATTGTAGGTATTTGGGCTATTTTGAGGAACAACGAGATGCTGACATGGCCAGAGAAAATAAAGTTTGCTATTGGACTTCTTCCGGCTATGCTTGGAGGTCAGGCTTATGTTGAGGCTCAAGATGGTTTATCAGTCCAAGAATGGATGAGAAAGCAGGCAAGTTTCCTCTGAGAATATGCTTTTGCTCATCAGATAAGAATGGTTGGTGATGAAGCTTTCACTTTCTTTTACAGGGAGTACCTGATCGCGTGACGGATGAGGTGTTCATTGCCATGTCAAAGGCGTTAAACTTTATAAACCCCGACGAACTTTCAATGCAATGCATTTTGATAGCTTTGAATCGGTTTCTTCAGGTTTAAGCATATTCCACCAAACTCTTTCTTCTTTTCCTCTCTAAAACGTAGAAACTGCGGTTTACAGGAGAAACATGGATCGAAGATGGCATTTTTAGATGGTAATCCACCGGAGAGGCTTTGTATGCCAATAGTGGAACATATTAGATCACTAGGTGGGGAGGTAAGACTTAACTCAAGGATAAGGAAGATTGAGCTTGAGAATGATGGTACTGTTAAGAATTTCTTACTCACTGATGGAACCACTATTGAAGGAGACGCTTATGTCTTTGCCACTCCAGGTTCATTTCTTTGCTGTCTTTTTTGGATTTATTTACATTCCATCTGGTTGGTCTTTAAGGGATCCTACTTCTCTTGTAGTCGATATCTTGAAGCTTCTTTTGCCTGATTCGTGGAAAGAGATACCATACTTCAAGAGATTGGAGAAGTTAGTTGGTGTACCAGTTATTAACGTTCATATATGGTTAGTGAAACTATTACCCATCCCTCATGTCTTTTTTGGTTTGACATGAGATCACTTAACTGATGTGAAATAATATTCATGGCAGGTTTGATCGAAAACTGAAGAATACATATGATCATTTACTCTTTAGCAGGTGAGTTTTTTCATGAGAATTTTAAAGGCATTTATGTTCTTCATATTATCCATTAAACTAGTCTTGAACAAATCTTTGTCTTGTGTTTTTGCAGAAGTAACCTTCTGAGTGTGTATGCTGACATGTCGCTAACTTGTAAGGAATATTACGATCCAAACCGGTCAATGCTGGAGCTAGTATTTGCACCTGCAGAGGAATGGATATCAAGGACCGACTCTGACATCATTGATGCAACGATGAAAGAGCTCGAAAGACTCTTCCCTGACGAAATCGCAGCAGACCAAAGCAAAGCTAAAATTCTCAAATACCATGTCGTAAAAACTCCAAGGTCAGTTATTACCAAACCCCATATTGTCCCTTTCAAATGATGATGAATCGTACAAACTATGTCTCTCTCTCTATCAGGTCTGTGTACAAGACGATCCCAGACTGTGAACCATGTCGTCCTCTACAGAGATCTCCTATTAAAGGATTCTACTTAGCTGGGGATTACACTAAACAGAAGTACTTAGCTTCCATGGAAGGCGCTGTTCTCTCTGGCAAATTTTGCTCTCAGTCTATTCTACAGGTAAAGTAGTAACACAACATAGATCAGTTTGTTTGTTGTTAACCAGTGAGACTTTTACTAGTTAATAATCCGGTTTATTACATTAGTCCCCCTAATTTTTCAAGTTTGGTTTACTGATTCTTCAGGATTACGAGCTATTAGCTGCTGCTTCTGGACCGCAAAAGTTGTCGGAGGCGACTCTATCAACATAAGACACATGAAAGCTTAAATAACATTTCAATACAAAGTTACAGATTTGGCAAATGGAAAAATTGCAAGGAAAAATATGAATGCACTTTGATTATCTATGTACTGCTTCAATGTCTTAAATAAAATATTAGTTCATTTCAAATAATCACTTTGCATTTCATTGGGTATAGAGTGCAAATTATCCATTTTAGAATATCAAAGAAAGTGTAGTGTTTTATAGAAAACATTATGTGAAAACACTATCTACATACACAACACCAAAACATATATCTAAAAAAACTTACGCGTTTGCATCAAAAAATGCTTGTGAGATCACTCAAAAAAAAGTGTGGCTATCAATTTAGATGATTGCTTGTAAGCATTTTTAACTTCCTTTGTGTATAGAATAATCTCTCATTTGAGCAAAGCCAAAATTGACGCTACTCTCTGCAGTAAATGAATAGTACAGATTTGACATCTCTACTTTCCTGTCGTTATTATAATCTTGAAAGAGTAATTATTGTCGATCTTTTTCTGATCAAATTGATAGCTCATTATATTTCTTTTCTTCTGTAACGTTTTTGTTTTTATTAGTCTCGGTACAAAATGCATATAAGGTGGATGTTTGAATCTTTGATTGATCCCTGGCAAAACAAAATTATTATTTTTTGTTCTAAAGAGTAAGAAGAAAATCAAAATAAAGAAATGAAAAGTTCTAACCACAATATATTTTCTCCTTTGATGTTTATAAGACTAGGCTGGTAAGACCATGTGCAATGAGAAATTCTTAGAAGGAATCCTTAGAAAAATATTAATTTTATAATCACTGGGTCCCATGAATTGATCCTTACACTATTCATGGGCTCCACTGCACACATGGCGGTCCGTGATGGTCAGTTTATTTTTTTTAAATAAAAAATCTGAAATATCCTTATATAATCTAAAATAGCCCTTTTTATTTTTTTCATAAGAGCACCCGCAACCACGGGTCCTTAGCGGGAATCCTTAGAGATATATTAATTTTATAATCAGTAGGTCCCATGAACAGTTAAGGATTCTATCCTTAAAATCCTTATTTAAGGATTGATCCTTACACTATTCGCGGGCTCCACTGCCCACGTGGCGGCCCGTGAATGGTCAGATTTTTTTATTTTAAAAAAAAAATCTGAAATATCCTTATATAATCCGAAATGCCCCTTTTTCTTTTTTCCTAAGGATTTTCCCTAAGGACCATTGTTGCGGATGCTCTAAGGACTCCTTTAAGGATTCTCCATTGCACATGCTCTAAGGTCTATAAAGTCTCTTGAAAGTCACGTGAGAAGCGAACCTGAATTTGCTTTTGGCTTTGGGTAATGAAGACATCATGTGACAAAAGTACAAGACACCAACGTATTTTACTTTCTTTTTTGTTTCTTAACTATCCATTTTACTAAATCTAATTATGGTTGGTGTGGACCGTGTGGTTAGCAGGACGGGTCTTGAACATGCAGAGTGAAACATTCACCTCATACTCTTAAAAATTTTGAAGAAAATTATATAAGTATAGATCTCAAAAAAATTTTAGGTCCCCAAATATTTTTTTTTACATAGAAATCGTCACATGGCTCTAAAATCTCAGAACTGGTCCTGGTGATGAGATAGTTTCTGTAAATAGTTACCTTTCCAAGTGCTATATATGAGACTCGGTCTGAAACATAAAAAAAAGAACCAGTTGTTTAAGGTATCACCAATTTTATGTGAGGATTTTAGTTGTAAACATTATAAAATTTTTTTATAAAGAATAAGAACACAAACCCTTTTTTTTCTTTTAAAATGTCAAACCAGACTAATATGAAAAATAAGATTAATCATACATAAATTTATTCGTACATAATGTTATAAAGTTATAAAAATATAATATATTAATACTGTTAACTTATTATTGTTCTGTTGTTGTATGTTGTAATCAACTAGTTATAAATATCATGCAAACATATCAAATTCTAGTTGATATGTCAGTCACATAAATTGTTTAATAACGTTTGAAACTGCAACGATGCACATCTGCAACCACTGTTTTTATAACCAGCAAAATGATGAGAACTATAGATTGAATCCGGTAGCTGGATCTGAACAAAAACCTAAATTATTTGTTTAGTAAAAATATTTTAGTTTGGGTTTTGTTAAGTGAAGAATCTAACGATCAGTTGGTAACTAACAAATGTCACCAAGAATGATAATGATTAAAGTGAAAATTAGCAATGAGCCAATGATACATTCATACAAAAAAAACTACAATTAATTATACGATGATCACAGTGAGAATTAGCAATGAGCCAATGATGAAATAATGGGCCCCACTCACCGATCCGATGGGGCGTTTGGTTTATTATCTGAGTGGGCTTTTGCTTGGCTTCTTCGTTTTCCAAAACCTCACCACAACAACAACAAAGACATTTGCTTTTGTAACTTTTTTTCAACTCCTAAAACATTCTTTCTTGTAACTTCTCTCCTCTTTAAACCTAAAAAAGCTTTCTTCGCTAAAAGCAAAAAACAAAACACACACACTCACACATGGATACACAACACTCTCCAGGTTTGTTCTTAATCATTACCAATGCTTTTTAGGGTTTTCTTCTTGAAGTCTCAATTTTGGATCTTTCAGTGTCGTATCAATCTTGACTGTTCCTTAGTCTCTTACATTGTTGTCTCTTGTAGTTTCTGCTTCTCAGTTTATGATCTCGTTTTTGATTTCCTTCTTTTTATTAACTGTGTTTATATTAGTCTTTTTTTTTAATCAATGTGCATAGAAATAATTTCTTTTTGATTTTGTAGCTTTCTAGCAAAAATTGGCTTTTTGCAATAATGGCTTCTTCCTTTTTGTCCTGTATTCTCTATTTGATTAATGGGTTTACTTTATGATTCTTTTGTTTTTCATTTTAGAATATGTATCAATTTTGAAGTATATAGACACTGAAGAAGATCTTTTATAATTTGTTTTGCAGGAGGTAAGAGCCATGTCTGCAGTAAATGTGGTTGGAATTACCCAAATCCACATCCTAGTGCTAAAAACAGGCGTGCCCACAAGAAAAATTGTGGAACCATCAAAGGATTTGAGATCCTTGGTTCCGACCAGAGTCTTGATTTGCAGAAAGAAGAACATTGTTTTGATGATGAACAAAAAACCCCAAGTAAGAACATTTTGTGGATTGTGGTGGTAAAAACGTGGAAGAAAGAACATTGTTTAACCTGTGTGATTGTTGTTTGTTCCTTGATGCTAAATGTGTTTTGATGACGAGGTCAGGTCCGAGAGTTGTGAAGGATGAGAGAATTGGGGATATAAGTGAAGAAGATGTGTTTGCAGATGCTGTTTGTGAATTTTCTAGCAGCCTTGTATCTGATTCTATCATTAAGGAAAAGGAGGAAGAGACAGCAGCAGAATGTAATCCTGGTGAGTTTATTTTCTTTTATAAAACATTTCAGAGATGATGTTACCTTTGATGCTAGTGAAACATGGGTATTCTTTTTTTTTTTGTGATATTTTAATGTGTTTGGTAGGCTCTGTTTTTTTAAGATTAAGTCTTGGTTTTTTTTTTTTCCTTACGAGATATCAAACCTGTAGCAAGTAATAATCTGGCTCAAAGGGAACACAATTCAGTTTACTGAACCATCTGATTATTACATATCTCGGTTTTATTACCGTTATGCGTTCTTGTTATTTTGTGACGTGACTTCTTTATTTCGACCATAGAACTGATGTATATGGAACGTCTCAGGTGAACCTCAGCATTGCAACAAAAGCCCTGAAGTGGTTCAAGAGAGATTGGATGTTCTTCCACCTGTCCAAGTCCGTGAAGCAGATACATGTGGAGAAAGTTCACCTGACTCCATGGTTGAGCAATCACATGAAGCTCAGGTCATTCATGATGGTCTTACCATATCTAATGTTGGATTAGAGACAGAAGGCAAAGGAAATGTAGCGGATGAATCTGAATCTATGTTAGCATCTGCATTAGGAAAGAGAGTGGTTACTTCCACTTCATCATGGAACGATGAAGTGATTTACTCGGACTTGGAGGGTCCCCATGGATTTTCATTTTCTGTTGAAGAAATGAATATGAATCCTCCTGGTGAAGCTGACTCTACAGTAGTGAGTGACAAGAATCCGGTCGATACTCCTCCTGTAGAAACCATTGCAGACCAAGTTATCGACACCACTCTATCTGCTCTTGATGCCCTACCTCTTGCAGAAAATGATCATCTCTCTTTGCATGGAACCAAAGGCCTTGAAGACAAGCTTCCCTCGGAAGACTTAAGCATCGGCATGGAAGTTCCTTTACCAGACAAACTTCCCTTGGCAGACAAAACTGAACCTCAAGACCAGACTTCTTTGGTTGCGCTCCCCAGCGCAGAGAACATAGTAATGCCCAAGATTGACCCTGCTGAAGATAACAAAATGAATCCTGAAGAGGGTGAACCATCATTTGGTGCTTCCCAAGAAGCTGTTGTATCAGAAACCGTGACAACTTTGGTAGATCCTATTGTTGCTGGCTCGAAGGCTGATGTGAGCCATTCAGATCTCATTGCTCCTGAGATTGAACTTATTCAAGCAAATGTTGTAGCTGAGGAGAACAACAGCCCAATTAGCGAGCTCAGTTCACAATCCTCTTCTGCTGTTGAACACTATGTTTCTCCAGTGTCTGTTGCATTGGAAGGAGATGTACCAAACGTTCAGAATAAAAGTTCAACAGAAACATCTAAAGACTCCATCCTCCAAATCGGTGCTGAAGCCATTGAAATTACTGAAAAAGATGATTGCACTACACCTAATCAAAAGTTGCTGGAAAAGGGAAGGACAGAACCCAATAGAGTTGTTGGTGGCTTAGGGGTTATTCAAGCAAATGAGATTGATGATGGTAATGTCAAAGCACACAACATTTACGCTGAAGTCCCTGTGACAATTGAATCAAATGACCATAGAGATTTCGGGAGGTTGCAGAATCTTTCAGAAGCACAGATTAGATCTCTGGTTTTGAGTCCGCTAGTCACTAGAGATAACACATCCAATGCCATTTCAGGTAATTCACTGACCAATGGATAGGGAATATTATTATGCACCAGTAAGTTGAGTGTTTTTTTATTGGAACAGGACATAGTGAACCTGAAAACGGTCTGTCAAAGAACCAAGAGATCACAACAAGCTGGAGCACAGGGAAGGAGGAGCACGTCCCGCTGAAGAACCTTCTGAATGAAGCAAGATCACCAAGGCTAGTAGCAGCAGAGGCAAGTAAGATACAGAGAGTGAGCTCGATACTGGATCAAGAGACTTCCCCTGATGGCAACAGTGGCTGGCCAGAGAGAAGAGAAGTGAGCGAGGAGTGGAATTCACCAGCAAAGTATCCAGTGGAGAGGAAAGTGAAAGGAAAACCCTTTTGGGTGCCCTTTGTTTGCTGTTCCTCCTCTGCTAAGTAATAAGTCAAGTCTCTCTCTTTTGTATAATTCTAGTAGGATATGATGAATGAATGAATGATTCTAAGAACTTATCTACAAGCTTTAGTTGTTTGGTTCTTGTAGGAGCCTTTGCAGACCACTTAAGGATTTGACTTCTTTTTTTTTTTATCATATGACTATTTTATTATGACTCTTTCTATTCACCAACTAGTAGAAATCTGTTGTTTTATATTTAGTTTTTGAGAAAAAAGAAAATAAAATATTTGTTAAATCCTATTATGTTTTTAAAACTAAAAAAAAAAAGATTAGTAATAGCTGTGAAAAATTATTCTTTTTAGTATTGTTAAATTCGTTAGTAAAATATTAAAGGGGAAATTTGGAGAAATGCATTTAAATAAGAATAAAATTGGAAAACTACACCTTTATTTAAATTTTTGGAAAATTACACTTGTATATATATAAATTTACCTAATTACCCATTCTTAATATTTCTTAATTTCTAATATATATTTAAATTTCGATTTTTAAAAAGTACAAATCGTTAGAGAATATACCAGTTATCCTTTTAACATATCAACCCAATATCTTTGCATATCTTTTTAATACTATCTTAAATTATTTTATTAATTTGAAAAAAAAATAACGTAAGACGAAGACCGTCTTCTCGTTTCCTTCCTCCTCGTCATCTTCTTCGTTTCTGAAAAAAAAAAATTCCTTACATTGATTCTTCCTTTCATCTCATTAAGAGAGGTTTGTTGATTGATGAATCAAACTTCACTTTCTAATTCTAATTCTATTTTATCCTAACAATGGTTCTGTTTTTGTTATTGTAAATATAAATGTTAAAATAACATGTTTATCTCAACACATATATTTATGGGATAAACATAATTTTTTTTAAGATATTAGTTTATTAAGTGGGATAATTATTGAATTTCGAATTTATATATTAATTTCAAATTTATACATTAATAACTGAAATATCTAATTAGGGTAACAATGTCAATTCACAATTAGAGAAGTGTATTTTACAAAAATTAAAATAGAAAATGCAATTATCAAAAATCAAACTGTTTTTGGAGTAATTTACAAATTATCCCAATATTAAATCCTAAATTCTAAATAGTGAGATAAATGATAAAACATTAAACAATATATCGTAAACACTAAATTTTAAACCACATCTGCAAAATTCTCAACCTTAAACTCCAGAGTTTAATGATTTATCCAAAGATTTAAAATTTATTAAAAGTTAAGGATTTATTCAAAGATTTGATATTTACCTAAAGATTTTATGGTTTAATGTTTAAGTTTTAAAGTTTATGGTTTAGTATTTGCTGACCGCTTTAACAATATTATTTTTTTTTTTAAACTATTACTATTTTTTACTTATTTTTATTTTAAAAGCATAATATTGTTTGGTAAATATTTTTTTTCAACAACTGAATATGAAGGTTGCGTTTTTTTTATTAGAGGTTGTTCTTAGTTTTATTTTGAAAAGCTAGTTAAAATCGGTTTAGTTAACCAATTATAGCTTCGTTATTTTGGGTAATGCTGTTCACACTTGTAACCGGTTTAGAGATACCAAACCCGGTTATGTGATCCACTCTAATTGATTCCGGTTCTTATCCTAAATAATGTTTTGGTTTATATCTCTCCTTCTTCTTGATCATCGTCGTCGTCAAAGCCACTCAAAAGGATGCGAGCAATTCAAATCGTGACGACGCGATTAAGCTCGTGCTTGAGACCTATTCGATTGGAATTCGTCTCCTCTTCCTCGCCTCAACTCTTCTCTAACACTAGGCGCCTTCTATGTACCGCCGCCGCGACGAAATCGAACGGAGGCAGGTCCGGTTCGATTGTCGCTCCATTGGTGGCGAATGAAGAAGGAGAAGAAGTTCAGAAGATCGATGTGAATCCACCTAAAGGAACTCGTGACTTCGCTCCTGAGGATATGCGTCTTCGCAATTGGCTCTTCAACCATTTCAAAGAGGTTTCAACACTCAAATTGCTAAGTAAATTTGAATTTTTATTATTTCTTTCGATACAAATTTGAACTAAAAGCTTTTTGTATTTGAAGGTATCAAGGTTGTTTGGGTATGAAGAAGTGGATTATCCAGTGTTGGAGACAGAGGCTTTGTTTATCAGAAAAGCAGGAGAGGAGATTAGAGACCAAGTAGGATCGTTACTCCTAAATGTTGTTGCAGTTTCATTATCTCTTTATAGTATAGATCAGTGTTCTAAAAATCGGCATAGGCGGGCTACGCTATTCGGCGGCAAATCGAGTATGAGATTTGTTTAAAATCGGTCTAGGCGTTCAAAAAATCGGTCTAGACATCCGTTTAAACAATAATCCTCTATAAAACGCGTAACTGCCGCCTTATTTTTAGAACATTTGTATAGATCATTCTTTTAAACTCTTGGAAACTCTTGTATAGCTTTACTGCTTTGAAGATAGGGGTAAAAGGCGTGTAGCATTGAGACCTGAGCTTACTCCTTCTTTAGCCAGGCTTGTTATTCAGAAAGGGTAATTAAATTTTATTATGTTTCTCTCAATGAAATCTTTAGAGGACAGTTTTTTTTTTTTAATCTTCAACATATTTTTTTTCTTTTTCTTGGTGCAGAAAATCAGTTTCGCTACCGTTGAAGTGGTTTGCTATTGGGCAGTGTTGGCGGTACGAGAGAATGACAAGAGGAAGGAGACGTGAGCATTACCAGTGGAATATGGATATTATTGGTGTTCCTCAAGTCACTGTATGTGTTTCTCTCTCATCACTTTTTATAGGCTTTCTAGTGTCTTGCTTGATTAAACCTCACCTGCTTCTTTTTAGGCTGAAGCAGAGCTTATTTCATCTATAGTCACCTTCTTCAAGCGAATTGGGATCACTGCATCAGATGTTGGTTTTAAAGTTTCAAGTCGCAAGGTATTTTTTTTGTTTATTTCCTCTTTCGATGTTGAACACCATGTTCTTGCTTTACACTTAATATAACCATGGAGTGTGATTTACTTGCAGTGACAAATATGATATTACGTTATGTTCAGGCTGATCCAAATCTACCATAACTTCTTCCTTGTACAGGTCTTACAAGAAATGCTAAGAAAATATGGTGTACCTGAAACCTTGTTTGGCAGAGTTTGTATCATCATAGACAAGGTTAGTTGTTTAATGATCTCAATATTTTGAAATGGCTACTTCATCTTCTAAAATCAATAAATACTCCAGCATTATGATTGTTTTATGCTATTTTTGTGTGGTTTTGCCACCGTACTCTTATATGTTGGGTGAAAAAAGATAGAAAAGATCCCCATTGATGAGATAAAAAAAGAACTTGGTTCCACGGGGATATCAGAAGATGCTATTGAACAGCTATTGCAAGTGCTTTCTGTCAAGTCCTTGGATGATTTGGAAGGTAGTTTCCTTTCGTTGTTCTTATTGAAACCGCTATCTCTGACGATAGCTGCAAATAAGTAAATGAACATGTAATTTCTGTTAATCAGATGTACTTGGTGGAGCTGGAGAAGCCATTGCAGATCTGAAACAACTCTTCTCACTTGCTGAAAAGTTTGGTTATTCAGAGTGGATACAGTTTGATGCATCCGTTGTGCGTGGTCTGGCGTATTACACTGGTATTGTCTTTGAGGTTAGCTTTTATGACAGTATATTTCCCATACATTGGATACTGGTCTATTGTTTTTATGATAGGAATTGGTATTAAAAAAAAAAAAATTTCTGACAGGGGTTTGATCGAAAAGGGAATCTACGAGCTATATGTGGTGGTGGGAGATACGATAGATTACTCCCCACTTATGGAGGCGATGACATTCCTGCTTGTGGTTTTGGTTTCGGCGATGCTGTAATTGTTGAAGTAAGTTTTAAGCCTCTGGTTGCTACTCCATTACCTGTGAATTTGCAGGTAAAAGTCCAGTTTCAGCTTGAGAATATCTAACCCCTTTGTTTCCTTCTTCTACGTAGCTGCTTAAGGAGAAGAATCTGTTGCCAGAATTGGGACAAGAGGTAGAGAACATTGTGTGTGCTTTGGAAAAAGATCTCCAAGGAGCTGCAGCCACTGTTGCTACCACTCTCAGAAGCAAAGGCCAAACCGTTGATTTGGTATTGGAGAGTAAACCGTTGAAATGGGTGTTCAAGAGGGCGGCTCGGATAAACGCAAGAAGGCTGATACTGGTTGGGAAGACAGAGTGGGAAGATGGTTCAGTAAGTGTGAAGGTTTTGTCTTCAGGTGAGCAGTTCCAAGTAAAACTCAATGACTTAGAGTAGTACATGAAAAAGTTCCATTTTTAACATTTGAGTTGAGATGGAATCTTAATTTGATCGTGGAAGGTTTATATTAAGAATCTCATCTTAGTATTTCATTGAATTGTTGCTCTCTTTGTTTCTTAATGTATTTTACGTTACTTAATGCAATCTCTTGTTTCTAGTTTAATGACTAACTAGTTTTTGATCCGCGCACCTGCGCGGATATTTGTTCATTGTAATCATATGTATTTTAAATTTGAAAATTTGATAAAAAAAATTATACTCATTATGTTATATATTCATATGTTTATTAGCTTTCGTATTGGTTTGTCTTGTCAATGTTATTAGTTTCGTTTATAAACTATAAGATTGTGTTTTTGTTTTATTCTGCTTTCATATAGTTTTCTCATAGATTAAACTTTAAAGTATTAGAATGAGTCAGGTTGTTGATTTATTATATTACTAGGTGGACGGCCCGCACGCCTGTGCGGACATTAATATAATCTATACATTGCATGAATAAAAAATAATATAAATGTATAAATATATTGTAATTTTTTTTCTCTTTTACGTAGATACTCTGTTTTTTTAATATATTTTTCTATTTCTCATTTCGTTTCTCCTTGTATTTTTTCACACATTCGTTTTGTTTTTTATGTATCTCTCTTTGCATTATTTTTGTATGTCTTTGTACACCTCTCTCACTCTCTTTTCTTTCTCTCTCTCTTAGTTGATCAAAATAATCTCAAAATCTCTCAAACTTACATTCACTCTCTCACAATCATCTATATTCATTCTCTTACCCTCGTCCTTAATATGATCCTCAATATTTCATTTTAAAACTCTTTCTATCTCTTTTTGGTTGCAAAATTTTAAGCAGATTTTTTTAAATCTTTAAACACTTTGACATTGTAGTAATAAATGATTTCAGAATCTATCTCACTTA